ATTATTATTATTATTATTATTATTATTATTATTATTATTATTATTATTATTATTATTATTATTATTATTATTATTATTATTATTATTATTATTATTATTATTATTATTATTATTATTATTATTATTATTATTATTATTATTATTATTATTATTATTATTATTATTATTATTATTATTATTATTATTATTATTATTATTATTATTATTATTATTATTATTATTATTATTATTATTATTATTTAGTAATAGTAGTAATAGCATTCGTAACAAATTATTGTTGTTAGAAATTATTATTGCTATCATTAAAATGTATTCCTTGACCTGAATAATGAAGGGAATGATTAACATAATATTAAACATTCGTAATACGAGCGGATATTATTGTTGAAAATTATCTCAAAAAGAATGATAATAATAGTGATAATGGTGGTAATGCTGATAATGATGATGATGATGGTGATCGGATCGATGCATTATTATATCGCAATTAATGCATTACCATTTCCGGATGATCTTGACTCATTTCTAGAAATGCTGTTTGAACATACAGAATGTTAGTTTATTTCTATTTCGTTAATCTTTTCTTCTTGCTTAAAACTTATTTTTTTTTTTTGTTTTCCTTTGTTGAAAAATATTGAAATTTAAATTTCCAATAAAGTGTTCTTCGTCAGCTTACAATAAAAAGAATGATTGGAAAGTGTAAAACATATTGTTAAATGTATTCATTTATAACTTATATTAACATCTATGCATGTATGCATGCATGCGCGTCAATTGTAATTTTGGCGATGTATGATGCAGATGCGTGCTAAATGCATTTACATGTGTTAATTACATATGATTGATGTTAGAAAAGCTAATAATAATGGAATTTTGTAGGTGAAGATTTTCTCTCGGATGATAAATGGTCTACAGTTGGTTTACGTGATTGTAAACCATATGTATGCAAATTTCCATATGAACTTTGTAAACGACCTGCTGCAAAATATCAGGATGAAACAAGTAATACGTGCTCTAAAATACCTGAAGATGTGAATTTTAAGTTATTTCAAATAATTCCTTTTTCTAAACTATAAAATTTTTACTCAATTTTACATTTTTTGTCATTAATTAATTAATTAATTAAATATGTAGTGTTAAGAAAGGAATGGTTTTATTACTTGTTTGAAGAAATAAGCGAAAGAAAAATTAATTAAATAAATAATTTTGCAAGAAAATCATTTTTTTTCAATGTTTTAATCTATGTGATTAACGCCTAAATTTTTTTTTTTTTTTATGACAAACTATTTGAGTTTTTTTTGACTTCATTGAACACATTAAGTATAAATTACATTGAGTAAAAATTAAGAAAATAAACGGAATTAAATTTTTTAATTATTTGTTTTTTCGCTAAATTCAATTCTTTTTTTTTTTTTTTTTTGAAAATAATTACAGTGCTTAATCGCAGTAAATGGTGGAATAGCGTTAACAACTGATGCTAATACTTTTACCGATAATGGAATTACAAATACAAATTTAAATACCGATGAATCGGAATTAACAGCAATTACATCATCATTATCAAGTTATAGCAATGGATTTTCCACTACACTACCATCATCTATTCCGATTACAGGTTTATATATATTTATATATATATATATGTATATTTATGTATATGTTATATTTTCATTGATTAAATATTTAATGAAATTTTTAACTGATTAAAATGTAAAATTTTAACTCTTTACTGTAATTAATTTAATTACCACATATACATGTCCCTTAAATAATCATCATTAGTGATAAAATTGTTCGCTAAAACCTTTTATAATAGCTAAAACCTTCGATATGTTAGCATGTTCATATAATTGTTTTATTTTGATAACATTAAATTTCGTTTTTATCATAATTCAAATTTTTGCTAGCATCAAATTAGCTATTAATTCATTATTCAGTTAATTTGTAACAGATTTGAGATTTTTTCCTGTTTTTTTATTTCTTTGAAATCCTTTTTTGCTTTCTTAAATTTATTTTTATCTGTTTTTGATCCATTTTGTTCATTTCAATCTATTTAACACTTTTTTAAAAAAAAAAAAAAACTAATTCAAATTAATATTTCAATTCATATTGATTCTGGTATTTTATATTTAATTCAAATTAATATTTCAATTCATATTGATTCTGGTATTTTATATTTAATTCAAATTAATATTTCAATTTCAAAGTGGATTCCTCAATTAAGCAAAGTTATTGTTGTGAAAATTCATTCTGTTTGTATTTGTTTATGTAATTCCTAAAATTTTCCAAAAATAACAAATTAAATATGCAAATGATTTTGATCGATTAATGTAATTTTATTAATTTTAATTAATGTAATTTTACAGAATTAGCAACGAAATCAATTGATAGCTTAATGGATATTTGTAATTTGGATCAACCACAGGGAAGATTTTGTGGTTTTACAATTAAAGTAGCATATAATAGGTTATTTTTTAATTTTACCTAAATTTAAAGCTATCCTAATCGAAGTTTTTTTTTGCTTTCTTTTGTTTTACTTATCATTTTTAATACGAATAAATAAGTTACGACCTTTAAAGATTATCTGGATATTCGCATCAAATGATAGCAATAATAATAGTAATTATTGCTTGTGATAGTTAATCGAAAATAAGATGATTAATGGAAAAATAATTATGAATGTTATCAGTAAAAGTTTAACACTTTTTTTTTAACAGCGTAATGATAAGACTATCATAACCGTACTAAAATGTTATCAGTAACAATTAAAATATTATCATTTCTTTTATAGTATAATATTTTTTCGTTTTTTTTGCACTTTTTTACGAACCAAATATGAATTTTAGGAAAAAAGTGAATAATTTTCTTTTTTTTCAGTTGATAAAATTTTTTATTAATGCAAAAATTATTAAATAAATTTATCATTATTGATTGACAATTTCTGTTATCATATCATTAATGAGAAAGTAATCATGAAATCATTGTTAATCATTAAATTATTATTAATCATTAATCATTTATTCCTTTAACAAATTTTATTCTTCCAGAAAAAGAAAAAAGTGAAAAAAATTAATTAAAAATTATTTATATATATATATATATATACTTATTTTTTTTCCTCAGAAATAATCAAAGATGTGAACAATTTTGGTTTCCTGGTTGTCGTACAATTGAAACAAATCAAAATTTATTTGATACAGTAGATGAATGCTTGGAAAAAACTATTCATTGTAGAGGTATGCAAATTTTATTTTAGATACCAAAAAAAAAAAATTTTTGTTCTTAATTCATAATAATTACTCTTATTAATTACTCGTAGTAATTTTGGTTGCAAATTTTGAGATATGAATTAAATGAATTGTTTTAGTTTATGATTGTTAGAAAAGGAAAATATTTGATATGTTGTTTTGATTAATTAATAAAATTCGAAATAGATTGATTTTAATTAATCAATTAGATAGATCAATTGGATCATTATCAATTAGATCATATTCATATTCAATTCAATTAGATTATATTCATATTAATTTACTAGTATATGTTACCGAGCTATAATTATTATTATATGATGATTAGTTGGGGAATAA